CAAAAGTGAATTGTGGCTCGAGACTATGTTCATTTTGTTGATAAACCAATTTCTTTAGTCGTCTCGAACCGACCTTGAAAGTGAAGACCAATATTGTATCAGAAAAGAGCATTTCGCAATGTGGAGAAAATCTTACGAGGAAGCCAGCTAAGAACACAAGAATAATAACAGACGCTGCAGCGACAGAGATCCCGGCAATAGCACCAGCTGACAACCTGTTCAGGATAACGACAGTTAACATATCAAAGTGGTATGAAAATACATCATACTTTGCCTGTACCGCAGAGGTTGGTACAGGGCTTAAGCTAAATACAAAAAGTGAGAAGCTCAATAAAACAACATCTGGAGCCCGAATACATACGCAAGTGAATTGAGAGAAAGCGTGTAGACATTCGCATAATCGATCTCAAGATTCTCATCTGCCTGATTCCTGATGACAAGTGAATGATTTCCAGACCCAATATTACTGCCGTAATAGAGCAAGCTTTTAGCTCCATAAGTGGCTGTGCGCGCTGAATAGGATCCAGGATGCTCATCATCCAGCTGGACTGCATAGAGTCCATTGTCCGGACCTATAGATCCGTAAATCGCGACAGCATCACCTTCAACAATAGATCTGAGTAAGACTAGGTTTCTGAGTCCTTGTACTACTACACATACCCTATCCTTACTGAGTTCAGGTGCTCTTCGTTCGGGTCATGAAGACTCACTGCGAATGTAAAGACTGCAGTTGATCCCGACTTTGATGTGGAACTGGAAAGGATTCATATAGAATGGTCGGCTTTAACGTGGATACTCAAACAATACTTACTGGCCGGTTACATTGTAGAAAAGATTTGCATTTGACGGGGTGAACCAAGGTCCTTGGGAGTATTGAAAGGCTGGGTCTGTATCGTCGACCACACTCATCAATGGAAAACCTTTTTTTTCAGTATTGACATTCGAAACCCATGTCAACTGGTTAGATGGTTAGTAAAGCTCTGCATATATCGAGTACGACACACATAATCGATAACAAGAAAAGTATCCTCCGGATTTGTTATTGTCATGGTATGTGTTCCAGGAGATAGGCTGTCGTTGGCTGAGAAAAGGGGGATCTGTACTGTTGGTGGACCTTCTCCTTGAGCCGTATAAGTCTGATTATCTATAGCGACGGTGAAAATGCCATGACCGGTGTTCTTCGAGCCGTATATTGTGACGCCAACACCTTCAAACGTGAATGTCAGCGTCGCTTCGGCTTGTTGAGTCTGTGAAAATGTCGATCGATAATAGCTCAGCACACGCCATGTGAGAACAGAGATTCGAAAGGTAGTGTCAAGAACACCTACAGGTTGGCACCGAAGGTGTGATTGCTGGGGTCTGTGATAAGGTTCTGATGCCTCCAAGCATTAGATGGACTATAAGTAATCAAAGGGCTTTCGTCGTCGACAGTAAGCAGCAGTTTGGCCATGTATGTTACAAAGAAGAGTGAGCAGGACTCAGCATCTTAAGTGCTCCTGATAACAGAATGAACGGAGTTCTTGAAACTGACAAGCCTGAGAGTGTGCAACGCCCATCATCAGCCATGGATGACGATCAACAAAGATCACTCGCAAGATAGTATTCAATACACATGAAGAGTAAGTATAGACTCATGCAGCGCCGAGATTTCTTCAGAGAAACCAGTGGAGATGCACGAAGAAACGTTTATCCTGCAACACATTCAACAGTATCATGGCTAACGGTTGATGTAGCAACAGTCAAGATTGCAGCCGGCCGAGTTGAGGCGCAGACTTGGTCCATGGATGTTAAATTCTTCAATGTCTTGCAACAAAGGTTTTTTTAATAAGAGCATGTTCAAAGTTCTGTGTATTGACTGCTATAAGTTTGAGAGACGATTGAAGATGACTGAGATAGGACTGTGCAACCAGGAACATCATTACTTTTAGCCACATGGGCCGAAGTGCGCGAGTAGTGGCACTAGACTTACCAAATGCACACACACGGTAACCACACACCGTTCAAATTAATTTTAGGCCTACAAATGGGAGATTGGAGAGATCTACACGGGAGATTCCCGAATTGCAGTTCTGAGCTCAGATTGGCGAAAACCGCTGAAAAACTCTTCCGAAGTTTTTCCCGTGGGTTATTGGCCGGAAGCCGAACTGCCGAGCCGAGTCGGCAGACTGTTCCCCGTGGTTGGCTGATCCAAATTCCCTTTTTGATGTTACCCGCACCTAAGCTTCCTCAACGGAATTCATGCTCAGCTCTTCGGAAGGGAGTCGATTGCATATTTTTTCGGATTTTTTACTATTTTTCAAGGGGGCGGCCAAATTTTTGAACTCTTCTCAGGAAATTTTCGAATCGGCTAGATGATTCCTCTTCCTATGATCTAAAAAGCCTGTTTTTGTTTCTGAAGCCTCCACACAATTGTGGAAAGCCACGATATGGGGGTCCAATGTTTGACAGAGTTTCCTTGTCCTCGGCAGATCCCTTGGCTCGAGACGCTGAGGCTAGTCTTGCGCAGTTCAGGAAACTGGCATAATAATCAACTGCGGGCGGATTAATCAGGCTACTTTGGGAAGGCACACGTTCTTCCATGAGATCAGACCATGTATCTCTTGCTCTCGCCACGATAGGACTGAATTCACCGTTTCGAGGGATTGTCGTAATGTACATAGACTCACTGTAAGGCGAGTGCTCTTCGTAAGACCCAAGGCTAATGATAATAGGTTTACTCGACTTTTCTGGACTCGATCCTTGAACACGGCCCTCGTGGCCCGCATGTCCTCCTTCAAGGTTTGTGCGGGTTTTCTCAAAGAGTCCTTGGTTTTAGTATTTATAAATGACACTAGTACCCTCTTGACGTGTTGACATCCTAGCGACAGTATCAATCTTTGAAATCTTCATATCCCTCGTCATGGTGACTGGATTCTATCTTGTCATATCACCATGATCTTTTATGACACTACTTGTCAGCATGGCTACATATGATTCTGGCGCACATCGCCCCTCGACATCAATGGATGAAACACAGAGGAAGTTGCGAACATATGAGGGAAATAGCTGTTACCTGCTCAGTCCGGGACATGTTGCCCTCTCCTTTTCTTGCCAAATATTCATTTTCCATTTCTTTAAACATCAATGACCTTTACATAGACACGTTCCTAATCAAAGTGAAAATTGAGAGAAGATATCTGTGGTGGATTCTATCTGACAATTTTCTCTCCCATTTAGATCATTTGAACAGCGAGTGTCGGATCGGTTGAACCTGAGCGCAAGAAATTCCCAGCAAGGGGTCGAATAGCCTGTAGTGCACTGAAAACTAACATCTATTCGCAAAAAGGATAATGAACAGCAAGACATCATATCTTGTTCTATCTCTCGCAACATATTGAACCGATTAACGATAAGCATACATAAAGTTCTGTCATCATGGCTCAACTTGAGGGGCACAAGTTTTGCAATTCTATGGAGTCGACGCTTGTGGGATTAGACATAGTCGGGCCCTACGGAAGGGCGTGAAAGTAGTGTGGCGCTAACTTGACACACTTTCCCAAAGTCATCTTCGACAGATATTCGACTCAGATTTGAGTGAATAATTCATTGCCTGCCCATGGAGAGAAAATGTGATTGATAAAGCAAGAAATAATGAACATGTGTCTGAAATACAATAGAAGCACAGAAGTCTGTCCCTGGTATTATACGGCCACGAAACTCATCATCCACTAGCAAACTCTACTCGTCTTCCGCTTCGCATCATTGTATGTCTGATCATACTCCTTCCTCATATCAGCCTCCAGCTGATTCGCAATCTGCCTATACACCTCCGTCTGATTTTGACCGAGCTTATCCACAGACAGAGTCCCGATCCCACGTTTCCGCGCGAGCATGGTGAGGAACGCTACACATAGCTCTTTCTTATCTCCATACGCATGAAGACACGGAAGATTGCGGAGAGACCTAACGTGTCGAATGAGTAGCGGTGCCCGAGCCTCCGAGTCAGTCGCAGACGACGAATACAACCCTCTCGCCTCTGATGGTGTGCAACGTGCATGTTCTAGATCCTCGCGTGCCATCTGGGAGGCTGATAAGAGCAGCTCGAGCTTGATTCGCTCGTACGTCAGATGTCCGGCGATATCTTCTTTGGAGATGTACCTGTAGTCGAACGCAGGGTTGAGGTCGGAACAACCGTCGTGGATCGTATCCGAGAGTTTCATCATTTCCTCCTCCATTGCCCATTTTGGATGACTGAGGAAGGTCCATGAAGCGGTGGGCATGTCGAGGTTGGCGTTGTTGTTCTTGGGTTTCGAGTTCTTTTTTGTAGGCTTCGATGAACTTGGACCGTGGCGGGGTGTTGTGAAGACGGGATCTGGATCTGGGAACAGTTTGGCGTGGCGTTGGCGCGGAAGTGGGGGAGGAGACGTTCGGCGAGTCGGATGTCGGATCGTCTCTGCGGATTCACTCCGGGGAAGCATATGGTAGACGTCGGAGAAGCCTGAGTTTAAGGACCCTGAGGCTGGAGGGAGGCCCGTCGTAGCATCTATGTCAAACCTCAGTTCTTCGAGGCCGTTTCCACCCTCGTCGTCGGATGAGGTCCAGTAGTTGAGAAGCATGATAGAGAAGAGGGAGGGGGGAGTCGAGGGGAGACAATAGCTGGGACATATATAAGGACTCGGTGATAGTCAAAGAGAACAAAGAGATATCAATGCCGTCGGGGACAATGATACACAGCTTTTGTGTTGTCGAGTGGCCATCTCTTGTGGCTACAATTGGGCCACGAAGACATCTTTGAAAGGACTGAGCATAGGGAGGAGCAGGATCCGACGCATAGTTAACTTTGATGAAAGGGTAAGAGTTATGAAAAGTGATGGAGAGACTTGGAGGGTAAGAACGTGAAAGAAGCAAGGCATCGAGTAAGTGTTGTAAGGAGCCAGCAGATGAAAACGTCGGAACAGAAGCAAGAAAAGTATAACGAACCTGAGTCGGTATAGGTCCAAAATGAAGCCGTACTGGAAGAGTGACAACTGTGAGGTTCGAACTCACGCCCTTGCGGACTGGATATAGAAAGACCTAATTCCAGCGCCTTAGACCACTCGGCCAAGTTGCCATATAATGGGTTTTCCTTCCCGTCTGATAGGCCTCGGAATCCCCTTCCCTTGCTCTGGATCCACAGAGATACCAGCTTCCGAGTCTCCTTGGTAAAAAAAAAAAAAAAACACACATGCCGAACAAAAGACAAAATCCCGTCAGCCACTCTTCGCACATGCTGACACTATAGGACCTGACGTCAGGCCTCGGACGTCAAGACGTCGTCCTGTGACGACTGTGGATGACCTGTTCACAGCTCGGGGTTGTCCGACTACCTGGCTGGCTGTCCCTTTTTTGGCCGGGGCGTGGAACAAAGGAGGAGAGATTAAATGAGCCATTTTTGATAGATGATACAGTAGCCGAGCAGGTCAGATGATTTGCATTTGAACATTGCAATGGACATGTTTTGACGTCGCAAAGTGAGAATTTCCAAAATAGGCGAGCCAAACTGGCCTCCGTCCAACATATCAGACATACGCTGGGAAGGATAGGCAATAAACAGGCTCTTGGTTGCTCCCCGCACAACATAAGTACTGCCGGTGTGATGCACATGGTAAGCTCCAACCTCTTGTGGAGAAAGTGTTTGTGGATACAACCAGGGCAAAATTCGACATATGGTGGTCGTAAAAGAGAGAAATTCAAATAACCATCGTTCTGGGAATGGCCTTGAAGCATTCTGTCTGTCGAAGGGTAGAATGTGATGGAGAGTCGAAAAAAAACGTGTGCATGCCTAAGATTCTCACGTGCTGACGAGGCGAGAAGTGGCCGTTGCCTAGCATTCTTCATCGTTTCACCTTTTCTTTTCCTCACCGACGTCCACAGCGGGCTCGCCCTCTTCCTCACCGCGGGCTATGGCCTCCAATACCACTCAGGCGACCGCTTCGGGCGACCTCGTCGACCTTGTCTCCTCGTCAGGCGCAGCAACCATCTACCCATCCGACGACGCTATCCTTGCTGTCCTCCAGGCTCGTTTCCGCGCGGATTTGCCATATACCAGGATTGGCGCGACCAATCTTGTCGTTGTCAATCCTTACAAGGCCCTTGCTAATGTGAACGATATCAGTGCGAAGGAGTATGAGGAGCGGTCCTACAAAGACACCAGTCTTCCTATGGTTGACTCGCCCAAGCCTCTGCAACCCCATCCATATGATTTGGCGGCGAAAGTGTACCTCCTCATGCGGCGGAGACATGAATCCCAGGCTCTTTTGTCGAGGTGAGTGTAGTTACCATATGATGCTGCGCTGGCTAATGAAATAAATTTCTTCAGGGGTATAACAGGGTCTGGTAAAAGCTCGACCATCCGTCTCTTCATAAATCAAGTTCTGCGTCTATCGACGCACTCGAGAAAAGAGGCAAAGGTTGCTGAGCAGATCAAGGCCGTATGCACCGTTCTCGATTCATTTGGCAACACCAAGATCCTTATGAATCCTAACGCCTCACGCCACGGCCGCTACGTCGAACTGCATTTCAACGAGAGGGGGCGTATAAGCTCTTCAAAGATTCTGACATTTGCTCTCGATAAATCCCGACTCAACCGCCTTACCCACGAAGAGCGATCATTCCACGTCTTCTACCAGCTCCTCGCAGGAGCTACCACAGCAGAGCGTGATCAATTCAACCTCGAAGATCCCTCTGACTATGCCCTCCTTGCCTCCTCTGGAACCTATCGCCTCCCCTCTGGCCCCTTTAGCGACGATTCAATCGGCATGTCAGACCTACGCGCGTCGATGCGTACCCTCGGCTTCAAGCAGAAACACATGTCGTCTATTTTTAGTGTACTCGTCGCCATCCTTCTTATGGGCAATCTCCAGTTCCACGACGGCGATGCCCACACCGTGTCAGCGTACATCGCAAATCCCCACGTCCTGGATCAGGTGGCGCGTCTCTTAGGCACTACATCCGACGATCTGAACCAGATCTTGACGAACAAGACTAGCTACGTTCGCAAGGAGCTCTACACCGTCCTCCTAAGTGCCGAGCAAAGTGCTGCACAGCGCGACCAATGTGTGCGCGATCTGTACTCGATTCTCTTTGCTTTTATCGTAGAGACTGCCAACCACAGAGTGGCACCGGGCGCCAAAGACCCCATTCCCCATACCCAAATCGTCACTCTCGATCAGCCCGGGTTCCAAACGCGTGGACCAACCGGCACAAGTTCCATGGCACTTACCGGCACAGCGCCCCTCGTTTCCGTATATGGACAGAACAACATCTACGAGTTCTGCATCAATTTCGCTGATGAGCTTCTGCAATCTTATATCCTGCGGAACACGTTCGAAGACTCTGTGGGGTACAATGCGGCGATTTCGAGCGATGGGATTGCCCTCCCCTCTGTTGCGACGATGGATAACGGGGCGTGCATCGAGCTTCTGCGTGGTGCGCAGTTGAGCGAGCGGGCACAGCGCAAGCCGGGTGGGTTGCTTGGGATCCTGAACAGGAGCAGCTCGGCGTTCAAGTCTGGAAAGGGTGGTGATCATCGTGATGAAGACATGCTCCAGGAGCTTGTCATCAAGTTCGGCGTTCACGCTTCGTTCATCGCGAACCCCGGCCATGCGTCTGAAAAGTCTCTTTTCGGAATCAACCACTACTCCGGTCCCGTGTCGTACGATGTCACGAATTTCGTGGAGAGGGACAGTGATCTCCTCGACTCGGCCTTTGTTACGCTCTTGCGCAACTCTTCTGACCCCTTTGTCGCGAAGCTTCTTTCCGGACCCAGTCTCGCTGCCGAGCGGCACCACAAGGACGAGAACATCATCGTTCAAACACAGGTCTCGTCAAGGCCGCTTCGACAAGCTACCCCCATCGCCCTTCCCAGCGGTGAGCTCCTAGAAGAACACCCCCACCTCGACCCGAACAAGACGTACCCCGTCACCTCCCAACTCAATTTCACCATGTCCGAAATTTTCTCTAGCCTCGACCGCACACGTCTCTGGAACATCGCGTGTATCCGGCCAAACGACTCGGGCTCACCAAATTCATTCGACAAGCGCCGTGTCAAGTCACAGATTCGTTCGCTCCTTCTCCCGGATATCGCGGCGCGCCGCAGCACAGAGTACGTCGCGGACTACGATATCGTCGCGTTCTGTGAGCGGTACGTGCCTACCATGCGCGGGTCGGACGAAGAGCGAATTACGCAGTGTGCACGTGCGAATGGGTGGCGTGAGGGTACGGACTTTGCGCGCGGGAGCGGACGCGTGTGGTTATCCTACGCTGCATGGAAGATGGTCGAAGACACGGTCCGCTCGGTGGAGAAAGAGCTGAAGCGCTCTCAGGATGACGAGGATGAGGGGAGCATGCTACCCGATGACGGGACGGACTATACGCATCCTGAGAATGCTGGACTTGCGCCGGGGCCGACGTCTGGATTCTTTAATGAGAGCGCGGACAATTTGTTGTTGACGCGCACGGGCCCTGATGGGACGCGGTACCAGGATCCGAATGCGGAGTATGGTGGTGGGGGGCTGCGTTCGCCCTTTGATGCGCGTGGGTTTGGTGGTGGGGGTGGAGGTGTTGGAGGGAGTGGGGAAGGGTGGGAGGAAGACAGTAAGGTTGCGCCGCCGTACTCGCCGAACGCGAACAAGACGGAGGGCGCAGACGGTCTGGTCGTCAAGGATGCGCCGAACGCGGTGGAACAGATCCCGACGAGTACAACGCGGAGGTGGTGGTTGAGGCTTGTGTGGTTGTGCACGTGGTTGATACCGAACTTTATGCTGAATTATATGGGTCGCATGAAGCGTCCGGACATCCAGCTTGCGTGGCGGGAGAAGCTCGCTATATGTTGGCTTATTCTGCTTCTGAATGGGACGGTCTGTTTCTACATCATCGAGTTTGGGCGTTTACTGTGTCCCAACTTTGACAAGGCTTGGTCGCTCACGGAGGTTAACCAACACCAAGGTCAGGATGATTATTGGGTTACGATACAAGGTGTCGTATATGATGTATCGGATTTCGTGTTTGGGGACCACAGCGACATTATTGGTGAACCTAGTAATGGCGCTGATACACTGTCTGCTCTTGCTGGTCAAGATCTCACACAGTATTTCCCTGTTCCTCTTACCCTTGGATGTGCTGGCTTGGTCTCGGACTCTACGGTCACGCTTCAGTACAAGAACGATACCATCACGCAGACGTTGGCGGTGCACAAGTCTGGGACTCTGGCTACTCAGTCTCAGGCGTTGCAGCAGAAGAATTGGTATATAGACCATTTCTTGAAGACGATGAAAGAGTTCAAGAAGGGTCCGTTGGTTTACGATACAAAGGTCATCCGAGCATGGGCGGCTGATACCGACATATCCAAGTATGTATTTTTTAAGGTGTAAAAGATCTCATGTGTTCGACTGATTACTTCTATAGAATCTGGGCAGTCTGGGAAAATACGCTGTACGACTTGACCGACTATTTCTACACGCAGAGTGTGTTCCCCACCGACCCGACGTTCGCCTTTCTCAACAGCGATATCACCGACCTCTTCAAGCAACGCCCTGGACAGGACATCACGAAACCTTTGAACAAGGTTCTCCAGACCCTCGACGAAAATACTGTCGCGCAGAATACCGCTTGTCTCAAGAACGTGTTCGGTATCGGTCAGACGGACTTCAGAAAGACGGCTCGATGCCAGACTCAGAACTACCTCCTCATTGTCTTGTCTGGTATCTTGGTGGCGTCCATTGGGTTGAAGTGTACGTTCATCTCAGATTCTCCATACCATGGACGCTGACGTTCATCGTATCTTCTCTTAGTCTTGGCTGCGCTCCAGTTTGGAAGCAAGCGTCAACCTGAGTTGCAGGATAAATTCGTGCTCTGTCAAGTACCATGCTACACTGAAGGCGAGGACTCCCTCCGACGTACGATAGACTCTCTTGCGGCGCTTAACTACGACGACAAGAGGAAGTTGATTTTCATCATCTGCGACGGCAACATCATCGGAAGTGGTAATGACCGGACAACGCCTCGCATTGTTCTCGATATTCTCGGTGTCGACCCGAAGCTTGATCCGGAGCCGCTGCTCTTCAAGTCCGT